GGCTTAGCTTGGCATTTATCGGTCCTTTCGCTTAACAGAAAGGATCGGTAAGAATACCAAGGAGAAAAAATCAAAAATCAGTACAGGTGCTTGAGGAGTGTTGTTAGGTATCTTAGTGCTTTTTTTTTTTTAATTCGCTCTCTGCCCAATATGGGCAAACCATACAGTGGATAGTGTAGTTCTTTTTGCTGCCAAGCCAATCTCCTGATATCCGGATACTTCTGAAAACGGCAAGTACTCTTAGGGTGCTGTCCCGCACCAACTTCCGAGATTGGTAGACTATACCGCTTTCGGTACCAAGGTTGAAATAAGAGTTTTCTTTGTAACCTGTCACATATTGGCAATAAAAAGCCTTGTCTCAACCGATTATGGGTTCGGCCCGGCTTATTCAGGATTGTATTTAACATTCTCATGTCGCCGAATTGAAGTCGCGTTTTTTGGTTTGGTCACCACCAAAGTGGGAGCGACTTCAATCCGGGAGGGCTAGTTGAGCACCGTACCGGTACAGTAACTTCGCTTAGAACCTATTCAGCCTGCTAGCGGCAGGGGAACCCCTCTAGTTCATAGGCTGCCCGAAATAGTAAACATGAGACGGGAATTATGTAGTAATACGGTACTCGAGTATTCTGGGACCTCGGGTAGACTACCGTACAAGTAGTGAGATCAATCATGCGTTCCTTCTTTGTCTCCGCGGAGGGCTGAAGGAAAGACTTTGGATGTCTTAGCTTCAGGTTAAATTGTCCCAGCCCCTTACGGTGTCTTATCGAAAGCGGCAAGTGCGAGAACGCGACCATGGGACTCGCGTACTTGGATTCTATTTCCGGGTATGGGCAATTGGACATCGTGAGATTGGTAATTGTGGGAATGGTAATCCGTAGAGTACTGAATGGCAAATGGGAGATGGGAATTCCAGATACCGGTATCCCATTCTGAGTGGTGCACCAAAGAGGTGTCCAAGGCGGAAATTAAGGTTATTAGACAGGTTTAAAGTGTGATGTGCTGCATGCAATAGAATCTTTAAACTCCTGCGAAAGGTGTGGCATTGCATTGGCTTCGGCGCTAAATGCTCATTACATACAAACAGGCCCCTGCCGGTAGGTGTTTAGCTTAGGTAGGATGCTGTTTGGAGAGAGGCTGAGGAAGGCGAAACGGCCGACCGTACGGAAAAGATTTTGGGGACTAGGAAAGGATGCCGGTACTTGTATTGTAAGCAGTGATCAACCAGTCTCCTGAGATCATGATGTGCCGGACGTAAGCCCCCCCTACGGGGCTTTTTAGAACATGCCACCCCGTCTGCCAATTCAATTACTCTTATATGCAGTATCATTACTGACACACGAGGGCTATCTCTACCACATCCCAACTTGAGGAGCTCGCGCTCAACATGAAGTCGGTCGCATCTACCGCGCCCAAAGGCTATTGTATGAATGGGGGTTGGTAGAGGAAGCGCGATAACCCTCGCGGAGAGGCTAAAGAAACCATCTAGTGATAACAATTGAGTTTTGTATAGGTGGCGTCTCCAGATCCCCCTCTAGTTGCGTGACCGTATTACACTAAAATTGCTTTTTCCATTGCCCTCCTCTTAGGTTGGCGGGTGTTCGGGTGACCGGGAATGAAATTTCTCACTTTAGGAAATTCACCCGGATTTGCCGTCGCTCGATAGATGTTACCAGAACTACTCGTATGGGGAATTGTTAAAGTGATTATGACCCTCGAGTGTGGTTGGTTGAGGCTCCCAACCCCCAGCACTGTGCTCGTACCGTACGAGTACTCTTACTTTGGTCATCACTTTGTTTTTTGGTGGGATCGGGGGCGGGAAGTGCCTGCAGAGTCCAGGGATCCCCCTGTCATTCGCTTCCCCATCTGTGTCCCCTGGGAGGGATGACGGGGTTTGGGGTAGGACCAAGTACGAGTACTGTGCTGTGTCACATCCTACTGCGCGCGCCCATTGCGGGGTCATGCAAGCTAGAGGGAAACCCGGATGATGGGAATTGGGCCGTATTCCGATTCTGCACAGATGGGTGCCGTACCGTAAATAAACTATCGGTTGATCGAACCGCGACACCCGGGAAGAACGCCTGTATCCAATGAATTAGCTTGCCCCGGAGTGAGATAATTTGTGAGTGTATATTCTAGCACCGCGAATACTCGGGGGAAAAACTCGCTGCGGTCTTCATTCATGGTTTCTGTTGATGACCACGCGCACGGTGTACGGTATGATCTCAGGGGGCAGCTCCAAATATACACCGGTGTATTTTCTCAAATTCGCGCTCAGGTTCGCCTCTCGGGGACTCTGTGAGGGCTGCGTTTCCGGGCCGGCTTCAACAGCGATTAGAATATCCTATTTTCCGTAACTAATAATGGATCCCAGAGATTCTTAGTATCCTTACCTGTATCCCGAGATGCAACAGCTGGGGTTTCGTGAATAAGGTAATTCACCATGCTTTTTCTCACCATGGTCGCCGAATCACATCCCCGTCGCTCCTTCCAAGGGATAGGCGGAATAGGGTCTCGGTTTGAAACATTGATAATAAATCACAAATTGGGGAGTGGTACAAGCACAGGTGCCAGGCAAGATGCTTTCGTACTCGAGTACAAGGCGAGAACAGCAGGGATGTCTAAGACATGAAATTCATTGCATAGGAAAACACAGCAACATTCGAAAAGGGCAAAGCTATGAAAAGGAGTCCATAATACTTGTACTTGTAATACACAGGCTAACTTGGAAAAGTGAAAGCATGAACAATAGATACTGTGAGAACTGGGCTAAGTAGAGAAATGAGAGGAGAAAAGTAGAAGAAAAAAATACAAGTGATTATTCCATTATGTAGAATGACCCTCAGTTGCCACACTCCCTTGCTGTTCGGTATTTTTGCTTCTCGCACCACCACCTAAATGTTTTCTGGGCAACCCTTCTACGAAAACATCTTATCTAGTACTTGTACTGTACTAGTACATTCGGCGTGCTGATCTCGCTATTTTTCAGAGCAAGACACCCTGGGCGCAGTACACGGCGGACCAAGGGTACTGTAAAAACATAGAAAGAGGGTAGCACGCGGCGCAATAAAATAGAGAAGCTTCCTCTCCTGTAAAGGTGTTGTGTATGTTCCTTCCCCCCCCCTTTGACCGAGGAACTGAGATTGCGCGTCTTCTCCTGTGGCCAAAGGGGATTCCAGCGTTATGGCACATTCATCTTCCAATCAGGTGCTTGTGGTACTAATGTGCTTGCTTCTTCCTCCCCTTGCTGAATTGTATCCGTCCTTCATCCCTCCACATCCAGGTGCACGGTGATATAAGCTGTCTACTACCCGGCTAGCTGAGGCGACAACCCGCCATCTAATCCCGAAAAACCCAAAATACCCATCGGTGTGCGAACGCTAGAGAGAATCTGGCAGAAAAGTATAGCGCTCCCGGTTTTTTTTTTCCACATGAGTCCCGATCAGCTAATAGGGCATCAGTTCAAACGCATTGAAAATGCCGGCCAACCAAAGTTTTATCCCCGGAAATCACTCGGGCAATAATGACAGCTTTAACACATATATCGCACATAATTACAGCACAACACCCTCACATGTCCCCGGTACATAACCTTTCGCTGCCGGTCTTTGTTTCCCACTCATGGCTAAGAATTTGGGTAGAAACCTTCGAGGAGCTGTTGGCGCAAAACCGCTCAGGGGTATCCCCACCGGAAATCGGCCTGGATTATCTCCGTGACCCGCACAACATGCCCGAGGATGGTACTGGAGAATGGATTTTCGAAGAAGATTGGTACAAGAAGTGGCAGGCCAGCGAAGCATCCCAGCTTCTCTGGCTTTGCGGTGGCCCCGGGACGGGGAAGACCATGTTAGCCAAGCGTGTTGCCGCCAAATTTCTCTTCGGACCCGTCGATCCTCCTAGTGGGGTTAAATTGGTTTACCACTTTGCCTCACCTGAGCCTCCCACTGAAAAGGCGTCTACTAATGAGGCCGAGTCACGAAAGCGCATGCTCGCCAAAGTAGCTTGGGACTTACTATATAGCATCCTACGGCAGGACGGGAACCTTTTCGGTGGCTGCAGGACTCAAGTTAAAATTCAGGGGGATAAATTTTTCACCAACCCGAATTCTCTATGGGAGGTTCTAAGACAAGCGATCCGGGATTGCCCGGATGGCTCTGTATACATTCTCATCGACGGTGTGGATGGCCTCAATGAGGACTTGTGTATAGAGTTGATTAAAAGAATTCAGGTGCTCATGGATCTCCGTAGCGTCAAAATCTTTCTCTCTAGTCGGGATGTACCCCACGTATCTAATACCCTTTCTACACCTACCAGGGTCAATATTGATACGAACCGTTCTGTGAAGGGGGATTTGGAAACCTTTATCACGCGCAGAGTTAGGGCGTTCGGGGGGTGGAAGCAGGAACAAAAGTCAGCAGCAATCGAAACGCTTTTGGAGAAGTCGGGAGGCACCTTCCTCTGGGCATCGTTGGTTCTTGAAAATTTACAACGCTCTTCCTCAGGCATCAACTGCCAAGCCTTTATAAAACACCTCCCATCTGAGCTTAAAGACATATACGGAAACATGTTACGCGATATCCGGTCGCGGGCAGGATATGAAGGAGTTCTAAAGATGATCCGGAGTGTGGCGCTCGCCTTGCGCCCGGTCACATTTACTGAACTCATACACATACTGACATATATGGAAGAAGGCAAAGTAGGAACTGGACAACAGCGGTCTCGTCGGGGGGCAGGTATGGAAGAAGCCGAAGCGGGAGATAGACCACAGCGCTCTCGCCGGGGGCCAAGTGCCGAGGCTCCACATATACCGGAGGAGGAAATCATCCAACAGCATGTCCAATCCTCTCGGTCATTTCTTTGTGCTAGAGGAAAAACAATATCTCTCGTCCATCATTCCGCAATAGAATACCTTTTCGACGAAAGCCTCCAGGATATCGAACCCGTACCGGCTAGAAGTGAGCTCGACTTCGCTGTTTCCTGGGGGTGCTTCCGATACCTTCACCATGCCCTCGAAGGTCTGGAGAAATCCCCTAAGGGAAATGGCAGGGAGCGCCAAGAAAAGTCCGGGGAGTCGAGTTCAAGGAGGGTTCGCCAGGGGAAGCCGGCAGAAACTCCTCAGGAAGCTGCGCGGGAGCGCCGGAAGGCCGAGGCAAAGTGGCCATATCTCAAATATGCTGCGGAATCTTGGTTCATTCATGCCCGCCGGAGTATCGAGGCTGGGGAGCACAAATTCTATGATACTCATCATAACTGGCTGGATTATGGGCTCTTCGGCACCAGCGATATCATACGAAAGCAGTGGATCGAGTACTGCGGAGATGCAAAAATGGAAGTTTTAGCGGGGGAGCAAACACCACTGAACGTCGCGGTCTGTTTGGGGCTCACGCCGCTTGTCAAAGCCCTCCTAGATTCCAATACCGGGACGGAGACCTCTAATAACACCCATTCACCCCTACACCTAGCAGCAAAATCTATGTCCGGGGCATACAAGATCCTTATTGCCGAGAGCGACCCATCCCTTCTCATGGCCCAGGGTCAATACGGCAACACCCCGCTCCATGAAGCAGCTATTTCCGGTCATTGGAACATGCAGAAGGCCCTGATGGAAAAACTCGCAGGATCTGAGGACGGAGCATACAGTGGCAAAATCAACAAGAAGAACGATTCGGGTGATACCCCACTTCACCTCGCTGTTCAATTCGATCACCCTGATATCGTCGAGGCTCTAGTCAAGAAAGGCGCGGATCGGTCCATCCGAAACGGTCAGGGGGTGACAGCATCGGAATTGAGCTTATCTCTCAGGAGAGATGACAGTTCTGAAATTCTAAGACTTGCAGAGGTGGGGGCTCTGGAGGAGCTAGGGGAGGAGGCTGTTGTGCCACCTGTGTTGCCACCTACGAAGGAACCTGTGCAGGAGCTTGTAGCGCTGCCCGCGAAGGAGCGTGGAGAGAAACTACGGTGGAGAGTGTGGTGGAATCTGTGGTGTTTGGGAGGGGGCTGCGGTGGAGAATGGGAAGCCGGCGGAGATGACGAAGGAGGAGACCGCGGAGGAGACCGCGGAGGAGATATAGGACGAGGCTCTGGACGGTCCCGGGAAGAACGCCACAGAGGGGGCCATGGAAGGGGTCAGAGCAGCCCCCGGGAACACCACTTTCCGAGGAGGCGAGGCCGGTATCAAACCCCTAGGGACAAGCTACTCACCGCAGGCCCGGATGGGGATCATGGGTGCCGCTCCCCCCGCCGCACGGACGCGTACTCAACGCATAAGGAGGAAGGAAAACGCTACAGTGTTGTCGTTGTGCGGTAGGAGCGAGGAATGTCTTTTCCCCTACCCCCGGCCTGCTATTGTAGCTCTTTGGCTAGCATAAAATTGCTAATCGGTTGCCCCTATGCCCACCCTATTCATTCTATATCATGTATTGTGATTCTACGAAAGATTCTCATTTAGTTAGGTCATGTTGAGTGGCGACTTCTTCGCCGCTCAGGGGTGGTGGATCTCTTGGGCTATAGCCTCCGCACTCCCTTGAGGGGTTGCGCCGGCTCACTCACTTGTTTCCCCGTTTGGTCGGGTTTGTTGTCTTGGACGCTACTGAGAAATGGGCTATTCGGGTTACACCACGAGATTATGTATTGCTAAGTTGGGTTGGTTATTAATTATGGGAGGTTTTTTTCAGGGGGGATAGGGGTGTATCGTTCGTTGGATTGTTCATTAGTTTAGGGAGGGCGTTGTATCACGAATTTATGTTTGTTCACACACTTAGTTCCCCCGCCTACCGAATTTCTGGACTGGATTCTTTCACCTTTTTATTCCCTTAGCGTTTGTTTGAATGCCGTTCTAGTTATATTGTGATTTTGAGATAGTGTTCTGTTTAGCTCACTAGAGCGCGGTAATGGTGAGGTTGCCCATGACAACTTTTGCCACCAATCAAATGTTGGGACTGAAGCAGTCGAGTGACCGCACATGGCTGGCACATTCCTTGCAGCCTCTACCCCCCCCTTCACCTCCCGACAATAAATCATATCTCACGAAACAATTGAAAAATTCACCCTCAAACCGTCTCCCTAACCGCAGCAGGCATACGCCCCTGGGGCTCCACCGTGAACTCCACTTCGCCCGCCGCCCTCTTCCATCCAAGTCCACCGCACTTTAAGAGAGGAAGTTTTTGAACGAGCGGTGGAACCGGTGGAACGGCGGTAGCAACGGCGAACGAACAGGGATCTGTCACAACTGGCCAATCAGAAACCAGCCGAGTGATGGACTGTGAAACGAAACAACGCCAAGCTTATTCATGGTAAAGAGATCGCTCAAGGCAAAGAAAAAAAAACTTTTCACTTTCACTCTCTTCCACTCCCCTAACTATCGCATACTCTACTAACTAACGGCGAACATAGGAGAATATATCTACCATGAGTGACGCCGACAAACCACAAAGTCTTCCCCCACCCCCCCCAGGTAAGTCCTCCCCTTTCCTCTCGCAGACAAACACAAACTAACAAGGAAAAAAGGCAAACTCGGGCCTCCCCCTCCTACCAGGTAAGCCCCCCCATATCCTTCAAACAAACAAGAGAAGCTAACAAATAAAGAAAGACAAACTTGCGCTTCCACCGTGCGCTTTTCCGCGGTGCTCTTCCGCCGCGCCTTTCCTGCGCTCCTCCTCCCCGTGCATTCCCACGCTCTTCCTGCGGTCCTCCACCGCGCTCCTTCCTGCGGTCCTCCATCGCGCTCCTTCTGGCGCTCTTCATGCGGTCCTCCGCCGCGCTCCTGCTTTCGCCTTTCCTCCGCGCTCTCTCCAACAACGAACAAACAAGCAAACAATGCGAGAAGGGAAGGAAGGGGGGGGACTGGGGGGATAGGAAATAGGAATGGGGGGAGGGGGGAAAGAGTAGGAGGGTACCGGGCAGGTGTGGGGAGCAGCTTGGACTTCCAACAGAAGTCACCACCTAACATAACCTAACCAAGTGAAAATTCTTTTTGGCATCAAGATACATGCGTATAATGAATGAAACCAATGCGTGACAGGTCGTTGGGATGGTATTGTTGAAGAACTATACAACAAGAGATCGTATGATGGAGAGAGAGCTCTCCTAGTTACTACCATATAACTGCAGGACATAGTTCTGATGGCGAGGCTGGTGCGCAGCGGAGGTGAGAAATCACGATGTGGATGGAACCGAAGGTGAAGTGAGAGGAGTCCTCTGGTCTCTTCTCCCCGAAGCTCCGAAAGAAGACTAAATACAAAGTGCAAGGATGACAGCCATTCCTATAGAGGGCTGTTCATCCTAAAAACAAACAAACAAACAAAAACATCATATCACCAAATAAGGGCTCACACTCTCGGCCCTCTCTGCCACCTACATGCATCTCCATACATCTCTCTACCTCACTGTACTTGCTCCCCCATATCTCGCTGTTGGGATCATGCTATCAAGTTCCCCACCTCTTCTTAATGAAGGCTTATGTATCGAGAGAGTGAGTGGGATGTAGCAGAAAATCCTTTCCCAAGAGTATGATGGTACATGACTCAGCTGCACCGGTTCAATGATAGCTTCGCCTTCTTCAACGTCCATGTCGCCGGTCTTCACACAGAGTCCTCCGACAGCCCTCTTTGCCATATCCTTCCCAAACCCATCTAGTGCCTCTTACAAATCATCTTCCGAAACCCCCTATGCAGCCTCCCCGACAGATCCCACCCCCGTCCCTTCCGGGGACACTCTCCAGTCTCCTCCCTCGGCTCTTCACTAGGCTCCTCAGCAGTTCTTCTCAGAGCCTCCGGACTACCCCTCTCCCGAGCCCTTGGCCCAATTACAATCCCATCACCCCCTGACCACACTTGGCGCTCAGATCTGCGCCGTTCTCGACCAGAAACTCGACGATATCCGGGTGGTCGAATTGCAAAGCGAGCTGGAGTGGGGTATAGCCGAAATTGTTCTTCTTGTTGATTTGGTCACTATGGGAGCTAGCCGTTAATTCTGCGAAGATTTCTATCAGGGCCTCCAGCATGATAGAAATCTTTGCAATGGCCTTTGAGTGTAGTGGCGTGTTGAAACCTCGATCCGGCTCAGTGAGGAAGGCTGAATTGACTTTCTCAATTAGGATCTTGTAGGCACAAGAGGCGAACTTGGCCACTAGTTGTAGCAGTGGCTGATCGTCGTTCGTCTGGTTTTCCTTAAGGTTGAAGCTTGAAAGGACCTTTTCTACTAGTGGCATGAGGCCCAGACATACTGCGACATGCAGTGGCGTTTGCTCACCCTCTAAAACCTTCATTTTTGGATCTCCACAGAACCCGATCCATGGCTTTCTTATGGGATCGTCGGTATCGAAGAACCGATACCCCAACCAGTTACGGGTACAGTCGTCCCAGGATTTGTGGTCTGAGATCTCGATGCTCTGCCGGGCATGAAAGAGCCAGGATTCTGCAGCATATGCGAGATATGGCCACTCAGCGATGGCTTTCTGCTGGCGGTTCAGCCACACTTCCTGTGATGTCTCAGCTGACTCCCCCGGCTGATCTCCAATTGAATCTGACTCCTGGTATCCAACCTGACCCCCCCTAGCATTTCCCGTTGGGGGTTTCACCAGGTCTAGAATGGCGTCGTGAAAGTACCGGAAACACTCCCAGGAAACCTCGAATTGGAGGGAACCTTTAGTTCGTGCTTGTGGGCTATCGTGGAACATTTCGTCGAAAAGGTATTCTACCGCGGTGGGGTGAACAATGGATACATGTTTAGTAGTAGCCAGGAGAAATGACCAAGAGGACTGGACGTGCTGCCTGACTACCATCTCTGTTTTCGGCTGGATTTTGGGCCTTGTCCCCCCAGAAGAGTTGTGTTGCGGAGCTTTTGTTTCGCCTTCTTCCAAACGTGCCAGGATATACCCAAGTTCGCCAAATGTGAGCGGGCGCAAGGAGAGTGCCACAGTCCTGATCATGTTCAGAACTTCTTCCGATCCCGGCCGCGACTTGACCTCGCGTAACATATCTCGGTACAAGTCTTTGAGCTTTGGCAGGGGTTTCCTTATAAAGACTTCATAGTTATAGCCCGGGCAAGAATGTAAATTCTCAAGCGCTAACGATGCCCAGAGGAAGTTTCCTTCTGACTTCTCCAAAAGAGATTCGATCGCTCCGGCCTTCTGTTCTTCATCCCACCCCCCGAACGCATTCACCTTGCGCTCGATAAAGGTTTTCAAATCACTTCTTACAGAATCGTTCCCATCGATACTGATCTTGGTGGATCTCTCATGGAGGCTTTTAGAAATGTACGGTACGTCCCGACTGGAGAAAAAGAGTTTGACTCCGTCAATATCCCCGAGCCTTAGAATCCTTTCAATAAATTTCACACAGAAGTCTTCATTAAGCCCATCTACTCCGTCGATGACAACGTATACAGAGCCTGTTGGGCAATCCTGAATCACTTCGCTTAGAACCCTCCATAGGGAATTCGGGTTGGTGAAAAATTTATCCCCCTGAATTTCAAGTTCAGCCTTACATCGATGAAAAAGGTTCTCCTGCTGCTGTAGAATGAGGTACAGTAGGTCCCACGCCACTTTGGCGAGCTTCCGTCTTAGTGACTCGGGGTCACCTGCAGATGTCCCGTCTATAGGTAGTTCCGGCGAGACAGCATTGTAAACAAGTTTAACCCTTTGCGGAGGGCCGTCTGGTCCTAGGAAAAGTTTTACCGCAACACGCTGGGCTAGCACAGTCTTTCCTGTCCCTGGGCCACCACAAAGCCACAGAACTCCGGACCCCTCGCGGTCCTGCCATTCCTTGTACCGTCTTTCTTCGAATATCCATTCTCCGGTACCATCCTTGGGCATGACAAGAAGGTCGTGGAGATAGCCCAGGTTAATTTCCGGGGGCGATACCCCCCAGTGGTCACTCGCTACCAGCTTTTTAAAGGTTCCTACACGAATTCTTAGCCATAAGTCTGGAACAATGCAGGCAATGAAACACTGCATACCGGGAACACTTGAACATTGCGGACTACCGTATTTATTTATGAACGCTTTTTTAATGTTGAGCTTGAGGCTACTGTCGGAGATAGTGTTACCGTTGTGGCTGCCGAGAGTGTTGGAGTTACCGGTATTATTGCTGAAGTTGCCCACATCATTTGCGCTGTCCCTATTGTTGGAGCAGTCCTCCGTACAGAGGCTGCTCACATCGCCTCGGGCCTTTCGGGGGGTTATATCTATGAAGCGGTTCGTCCTGGACGCCCCAAAACTGATCCCCCATTAGCTGATCTGAACTAGTATAGAAAATCCGCCAAGTGCTATACATTCCCGCCATCTTCGCAAAAGAGTTCGCCATCCAG